GTTCAAGCAGAAAAAAAAAAAATGAAGAAAAATTGGCAGAAAGAACGAATATGATTTCGCTGAATAATGAAAAGGAACTCGGAGGGACTTAATAGAGTGAAAAGAGAAAATTACAACCACACTTTTTGCAATAAATTATACACACTGCTGTATAAAAATACACTAATACAGAGCCCGTGAGATTCAGGGTGCACAATTTAAAGGCAATATCAAGACTTATAATTATATACATGAATAAAGAAAAATGTACGGGATATATATAGTACGTGACCTGTGCGAAGCACGAGATACATTTATTTGAAGAATATTATATTATAAGATGCAATATTCAATAACAGTTGTACAATGTTCAATAAAAGTTTTATAATATTCAAGCGGAGTCTTAAAGTGTCTTGTTCATTAAGACTACTGACAAAATAATATTTTAATCAATGAGTTTCCTTTTCTTGTAGTCAAATTGTGAATGTGATTTGAGGAGTACAACAAATCGATATATAGCTGACTTGCTTTTTTCATTGTAGTTTTTTTTTTTAATAATGAATTTAAAAATATTCTAAAATATAGCAAAAATTAATTTTTTTTTATTACAATTAGGAATTTTACTAAATATAAACTCTCAATCTATGGTGTTAATCAACGATTAAGTCTAAAAAATTAGGATTTTTTACCTCTTTTAATCAACGTTTAAGTCTAAAAAACAATAGAATTATTATAAATTTTTTTTCTACATCTTTTAAAACATTAAATATGAGCATGTTAGGGCTAGCTTGTAAAATACTTAATATATTATCTCACTAAAACATTTATACTAATAAAAATTTAATTTTAGGATATAAATTTATACATTGATATAAGAGAAAGTAACAATTTTACTTATTGTTGTTCACCATATAATATTCAATTATTATTTTATTATATAATAAAAAAAATATTGTTAAATAGTGTAGTACAATTGTTATAAAATTATATGATTTTTTTTTACAATATGGATTTAATATTTTTTTATGATTTGATAATATAAACAAATTTATACTTAACTTTGACAAACAAAACAAATAAATACTTTAGTAAGTATTTAATGTATATACTAAATAGGAATATATTTGGTATAATCAAATAAGTCAAAGTGTACATTTTTATTTGGTATTTGATTTTTTTATTATTAAAATCTTTTTATTATACTTACCTTTTAAAATAAATAAATCAATTAAATAAATAAAATATTATAATACCAAAATAGTAATGACATTTAATGCAATTGACTTTTCTGGATAGTAAATGTAGTAAATAGAATCTCCTTTTATATAAGTATAGATTGTATAATACGGAAATAGTAATGCAATAAATGTTGTTGACTTTTTTTTATACTAAATCTGGTAAATGGTATACCTTTTAATATAAGTATAGATATAGTAAAATTGGATACTATTCGTTAAAGATAGAAAAAAAGGCAAGAATATATTTATATTTTTTAAATCAATTTTTTAAATGATACAACTCTTAGTTTAATTAAAACAAATATTTTGTGTTGTGGCACAGAATGCATATGACATGTAGTGTTGACAATGATGAAAATAGAGATCATTTAGATAATATTATATTGTTGATAATGGTGTGATTTATAATTTTGTAACTACACGTTTNCGTTTCTCAATATGACTCTTAACATTTATTGGTATACGATGTGGTTCAATATTGATAGTTTCACATCTATTTACACGGCATATAAAGTTAAAGGAAATAAGAATCTTATTTATTTTGGAGTTGGAGAATTCTATTTATTTTAGAATATAACTGTATTAATTTTTATCCGAACCAACATGTTTCGGCTTTGTGCGAGCTAACCATTTAGGCTCAACACGTTTTGAAATTATATTAAGGGAGGATGACACATTTATATTTTGAGAAGTTTTTAAAAATATTATATTAGATAAGTACTATATAATATTATTTTTTATCATTTACTATTCCTAACTCATATAACCACTAATAATAGAGAGTTATAAATTAGACGATAACTGATTTAGAGAGCACAACTTTACTTATTACTTTCACATCATTGAATATTTACTAAATTGTATTAAAATTGTTATGCATGTACCTTTAGGCCTTACTAATATTTTTCAAATATATGAGTGTTAGGTTCTTCCAACTGTTTGACAACCATATACTGTTAACAAATATGCATATTTCATAATTGTTATATTCTTAAAAACAACACACATAAATCTATGACATTTTATAATATTAATAAAAAAATTTATTTAAAAAAATATAATTGATTAATCTATCTAAAAATTAGCATACTCACGCAAGAATTTGTGTTTTCATTTTTCAAGTTAAATAAAATAATAATAATTCCATTGACACCCCTTGCGCAACTGATGTTAAGTGCTATGAAATTGAATAGATCAACCCATTGTTTTTCCGGCTCATTAAGACTTTTTTAACTGGACCTAATCCCATCAGTTCAGCAGGCTACTCAATTAAATCTTTTGGCCCATTTAAAGAGTTTGAAGTGGACCAACCTCTT